AAAAGTGAACCCAGGGAGTAAAAAAACTGAATTCCCAGAGGGAAACCAACCCAGACAGAGGCAAAACCCCCCAACCAGGCTTTGTGTTCCCTTCCCATCTTCAGCAGCTGCCTGAGTGTCTGTCCCTGACCTTTCTGATGGCAAACCTGAGTCACTGCGAGGCTCCTCCGAAGCAGGGGAGGATGTGAAGAGAAAAAAAGCAGGAGATAAAGGATCTGGGGTAGCCACAGCAACAGAAACTCGTCACAGGCTGGGGAGAAACCCACGAAGAAGAAAAAAGGCAAAGGAGGAAGTGAACATGAAAAGCATAAAGTGACAGATCGGGGGGGGGGGGGGAGTTTTGGGTCTTGTTAAAAATAATTATGATCGCTCCTGTAACACGAAATACGTCTGGAACAGCCAGGTCTGAGAGGAGGGTTCACAGACAGCAAAACCCAGCTCATTTTTTCCAGGGTGGCTCTCAAATACTGTCTGTTCTTGCCCCAATCCTCCTCTAAAACTGAATGACTGCTGTTTCTGTTCTTGCCCCAATCCTCCTCTAAAACTGAATGACTGCTGTTTCTGTTCTTGCCCCAATCCTTCTCCAAAAAACCCGTTCTTGCCCCAAGAATGACTGCTGTTTCTGTTCTTGCCCCAGAATGACTGCTGTTTCTGTTCTTGCCCCAATCCTTCTCCAAAACCGAAGGCAGCACAGCAATAATGAAAAAAAAAAAAAGGAAAATCCCTGAATTTTAAACAAATATGCTTGATAAAACTCCAGGCAGAGAGAAAAAAATACTGTGGATAGAAAGACAAGAGGACTTGGGGTTTTGTTTGGTTTTCCTCCCGGGTTTTGGGAGCAACCCAAACCTCTGCAGCTCCTCACGAACAGTGGAAGGGGCTGTAACTCATGGCTGGTGTAGCTGAAAGGAAATGGAATTATCCATGGAAAAAAGGGCATTATTCTCCCCCAGAAATACAGTTATTAGTCATTTTTACAGTTGGTTCTTAAAACAATCCTGAGGGGCCGGATTTAAGTGACAACAGTCAGACACAAAGCAGCCCAGCCAGTTACCGGCTCACACTGGGGGTGAAAAATAAAAGCTGAAGTGTCTCTCAAGTGCCTGAAAAAGAGGGGAAATCTGAAAGGCTGAAAAACAGGAACTCACTTGGTGACAAGGCCTGCACCTCTGAGAAGGGAAAGTTTCATTTCTGGCAGTAGGAAGACGAGCGTGGGCAGAGGCAGCACCAAATCATTCACCGCTCTCAGCCTGTGTTCAGCAACTTCCTGGCATTTTAGGGAGGACTGGACCAAAAAAAAAAAAAATTCCAAGTGAGTTTTTCACAGAAAAGTGACAACGGCAATTAAAAATAAAAAATTGCTATTCCTTCATTTCCAGGGAAATATTTGTGTTGGTTTATTTAAACTGGCAACTCGCCAACCAACACCCAAATCCTCAGCAAATCCAATCACAAATCACAAACTGCTTTGGGTTGGAAGGGACCTTAAAGAAAAGCTCATCCCAACCTCCTACCATGGGCAGGATTCCCAGTAAACGCCTTCAATCCTATCAAATATTGAGTTTTTTGATGGGATTATCCAGCACAAGGATGGGATCACCCAGCACAGGGGTGGAATCACCCAGCACAGGGGTGGGATCACCCAGCACAGGGGTGGGATCACCCAGTACAGGGATGGGATCACCCAGCACAGGGGTGGGATCACCCAGCACAGGGGTGGGATCACCCAGCACAGGGGTGGGATCCAACTCTAGGGCAGGATTGAGCAAATGCCACTTGTCCTCAGCTCCCCCAGCAGGGCCAGGAGATGTTCCTTCTCCAGCCCTGTTTTTTGAGGAAATCTCCAGCTGGGGAAGCTGCAGGAAGGCACAAGAACACTCTGCATCGGGTTCATTCCTGTTCAGCTGAGGCAGGAAATGAGGGAGATTCCTGGAAGCAGCTGATGAGCCCACGGGACAGAGGGGCTGAGACTTGTGACACGCCACCAGCTCATCTGTTCCTGTGGGCTGCCCTTATCACAACCCACAGCAGCCTCACAGGGCCCAGGAGTTCTCAGCACCTCTCTCACTTACAGGGAAATGTGGTTCCTGCCCCGTGGCCCCCGAGCTGCTGCTGCCCACGGGCTGATGCTGCTCCTCTTCCGAGAACCTGCCGGGTGTTCCCTGGAATCCCTGCTCGGAGTCATCCACCCACCCCCCCAGGAGGAGTGAAACTTGAGGTTCAAAGAGCTCTTCTGGAGGGGCTGAGCCTTATCATGTGCCAGGTCCTGCCCTTTGGCCACAACAACCCCCGGCAGTGCTACAGGCTGGGGACAGAGTGGCTGGAGAGCAGCCAGGCAGGGAGGGAGCTGGGAGTGGGGATGGACAGGGAGCTGAACAGGAGCCAGAGTGTGCCCAGGGGGACAAGAAGGCCAATGGATCCTGGCCTGGCTCAGGAACAGGGTGGCCAACAGGGCCAAGGAAGTGATTCTTGCCCTGGACTCAGCACTGGGGAGGCCACCCCTGGAGTGCTGTGTCCAGCTCTGGGCCCTCAGCTCAGGAAGGACATGGAGGGGCTGGAGCAGGGCCAGAGAAGAGCAACAAGGCTGGGGAAGGGACTGGAGCACAAGTGCTGTGAGGAGAGGCTGAGGGAGCTGGGGCTGTTCAGCCTGGAGAAGAGGAGGCTCAGGGGAGACCTCCTCACTCTCTGCAACTCCCTGACAGGAGGGGGGAGCCGGGGGGGGTTGGTCTCTTTTCCCAGGCAACCATCAGCAAGACAAGAGGGTTCGGTCTCAAGTTGTGCCAGGGGAGGTTTAGGTTGGATATTGGGAAGAAATTCTTTCCAGAGAGGGTGCTCAGCCATTGGAATGGGTTGCCCAGGGAAGTGGTGGATTCTCCATCCCTGGAGGTTTTTAAGCTGAGACTGGATGTGGCATCAGTGCCATGGGCTGGGAACCACGGCGGGGTTGGATCAAGGGTTGGACTCGATGATCTGGGAGGTCCCTTCCAACCCAGCTGATTCTATGATTCTATGATTTTATGATTCTATGATTCTATGGCCACCCCATCACCTCTGTGGTCAGAGCTGCTCCAGGCCGGGTCTGCAGAGCAGATGCTGCACCCGCAGTTCTCAGGTCCCACAGGAAGCCAAGGGCAAGGCAGGGGGAGAACTCAAAGCCACGACTGATCATTTGGTGAGCACAGAACGTCCTGAGCTAGAAAGGACCCACAAGGATCATCCAGTCCAACCCCTGGCCCTGCATATCCCCCCTTGTCCCTCAGAGCGTTGTCCAAACCCTCCTGGAGCTCTGGCAGCCTTGGGGCTGTGCCCAAACCCTGGGGAGCCTGGGCAGTGCCAACCATCCTCTGGGGGAAGAACCTTTTCCTGAGATCCAACCTGACCCTGCCCTGGCACAACTTCAGGGCATTCCCTCGGGTCCTGTCGCTGCTCACGCTGCCTTCTACCTTTAAAACAACTTTTAAGAACCAAGCATAGTTTATCTTACCAAATTATTCACAGTTCAAAATGAAACGATTTAACCAAACCATTAGATCCCTCCCACAGAGGCTGTCACACAAGCAGCTAAATAATCAGCTGCTGCATAATGTTACTTTTTATGTAAAGAAGCTGATTATTACTTGTTATCTCTATAAACTAAATTGAATTTAAGCAACAACAATACCTAAAAACCCCCTAAAATTAATTCACAAGCCAGAAAAGTCCTGAGACTTGCAGCACTATGAGGTCAATTAAAAGCCTTTCAGCAATCATTGCAAAATTTTATTTGCTAGACTCACGGGGCAGAGCTCAGTGCCTGCCCCTCCCCTTCCCCTCCTCTGAGTTAATCCTGCTTTCTGCAGGAATTTCACACTCCAGAATTTTTGCTCCCAATCCCACACACCACACACACACACACGGGCAGAGCTGCGACCACACCTTTATTTGCAGAAGTCCCTCTCAGCCCTTTGTATACAATACAAATGTTTCCATCCAACACAAATGTTTCTATACATCGTATATGCACCTGGAAAACAGGAAAAATCCTGGCTAAGTCCCCCGTATGTATAACATATAAGGAAACTTACGTTTAAAAACATGGGTTTAGACACCCCTTTGTATTCTTGAATACATTTTTAGCTGCATATTTTCTCATATGCTTTGGTGCTGTGGGATCCAAAGTGTCATTTCTGAGGGGTTACCTACAGGGGAGATACATTTGAAGTGGAAACCACTTCTGAATTATGTCACTCTCAAGTTTGCTGCCTCTTGAACTTGAGGCATTTCAAACACATCAAAAGCTGCCCACGACAACACTTCAGGTTCCTCCCAGATTTTCGAACTTACTGTCTTAAAAAAAAAACAAACAAAAAAATCAGAATGCTTTTCAAAACACTCCAGGCTGCTGAACTTGTGGGAAAAATCAGACAAGTAAAGTTATCACACACAGTGTGGGGGGGGTTTAATGGCAGGGATGGAAGGTTCTGGGTGGGGGTTCCACTCCCAGTGTGCTCGAGGGGATCAGAGTTTAGGGCAGAGCAGAGTTCAGGCAGCAAAATCTCTGCCCAAATGCTGCCCCAAAGGGCCAGATATTCAGCACTGGGTTAATAAATCAGCTCGTGCCTCTTCCCAGGGAGCAGCCAGGGAATGGATGTCTTTTCTAAGCCATGTTTTTTGCAACAATCAGCCCCTCCAGCTCCCTGAACATTCCCTGCCATCCCAAGCCAGTGCCCAGGAATGCAGGGAGCACTCCCAGCCCGGGATGCTGAGCAGGGGATGTGCCTGGGAGGGAGAACCACAAAATTCCAACCGGGAACAGCTGCTCCCTAAGGCCAAAGGGGCACTGAGGAGCCCCAGAGGGACCCAAGTGAACAGTCCCACAATCAAACAGCTCCACAGTCAAACAGCTCCACAGTCAAACAGTCCCACAATCAAACAGCTCCACAATCAAACAGTCCCACAATCAAACAGTCCCACAATCAAACAGTCCCACAATCAAACAGCCCCACAATCAAACAGCCCCACAATCAAACAGCCCCACAATCAAACAGCCCCACAATCAAACAGCCCCACAGTCCAACAGCTCCACAGTCCAACAGCCCCACAGTCCAACAGCCCCACAGTCAAACAGCCCCACAGTCAAACAGCTCCACAGTCAAACAGCCCCACAGTCAAACAGCCCCACAGTCAAACAGTCCCACAGTCAAACAGCTCCACAGTCAAACAGCCCCACAGTCAAACAGCCCCACAGAGTCCCAGAACAGGCACATCATCCCTTGGAACAACCCCCAGGCTCAGAAATGCAGGAGACAGCAAAGAATGGGAAGTCAGTTCTTGATGAGGCTGGAATTGGAGTCCACCTGTTCCTCCTGGATAGGAATTCGACAGCTCCCATCCTCTGAAAGAGAGAGAATTATAAAAATAAATAATAAAAATACCAAATAAAAAAAAAAAAACAACCAACAAATAAAAAACCCAAATAAAAATAAAAACTGAATAAAAATAAATATTAAATAAATATAAATACTAAATAAAAATAAATACTAAGTAAAAAATAAATACTAAACATAAACACTAGATAAAAATAAACCCCAAATAAAAATAAACTCCAAATAAAAATTAACCCCAAATAAAAATAAACACTGGGCTTTAAAACTGGGACCTCCAGCCAGCAGGACTAAATCTCTGGGATGAACTGCAGTTTTCATTAGGATTAATTATCAATTTTCCAGCAGGAGGGCCCTGATTGTGCTTTTTTCCCATATGTTTTATGCCATAAAAAGAAGCTCACTCTGGTTGTTGCTTCCACGAGGCCTCCCCTTGGTCTCTTTTCTGGCTGCTTGGACGATGAGCAGCAGGATGGACATTCCACTCACCATGAGCAGGATCAGACACAGCAGGAGGAGGGAGAGAGAGCCTGGGAAAAAATACAGGAAGAGATATTAAAAAAAAAAAGATTCAAAAAATTCAAAGATTAAAAAAAAAAAAGCTCCAGCTGGAGCTTTCCAGCTTCAAAAGAAGGGATCTGGAAGTACCCCTGAACCACAAAGCCTAAAAATCCCAAATCTGGGATCTTGTGTCCCACTGGAAAGCTGTGTGAAATACAGATATGGTTCTGAGAGAGAGTGGGATTTTCCCTCCCAGGAAAATCAAGTTTGATTTCCCCTCCCAGAAAAAAACAGTTTGATTTTATCCCCCAGAAAAAAATCAGTGGGATTTCTCCTCCTAGGAAACTCAGTTTGATTTCCCCTCAGGAAAATCTTCACTGCCCAGGAAAATCAGATTGATTTCCCCTCCCAGAAAAATCAGTTTGATTTCCCCTCCCAGAAAAAATCAGTTTGATTTCCCTCCCAGGAAAATCTTCACCCCCCAGGAAAATCAGTTTGATTTCCCCTCACAGAAAAATCTGTTTGATTTCATCCCCCAGAAAAATCAGTGGGATTTCCCCTTCTAGAAAAAATTAGTTTGATTTCACCTCCCAGAAAAAAAACAGTGGGATTTCATCCCCCAGAAAAAATCAGTGAGATTTCCCCTCCCAGGAAAATCTTCACCTCTCAGGAAAATCAGTTTGATTTCCCCTTCTAGAAAAAAATCAGTTTGATTTCAGCCCCCCAGGAAATTCTTCACTGCCCAGGAAAATCAGTTTGATTTCCCCTCTTGGAAAAATCAGTTTGCTTTTACCTCCCAGCAAAATCAGTGGGATTTCCCCTCCCAGAAAAGCAGCAGGAGGGTGAAAATCCCTGCCCAGCTCTCGCAAGCCAAACCCAGCCTTGGCCAGTGCCCTCCTTACCCCAGCTGGTGTCTGTGGGGTCGGTGGGATCCGGGCAGATGGAAGGACCTTCCCCAGGTCTGGGGGGGAAGGAGATCCCAGCAGTGGAGCTGTTCTTATCCCTGGTATCCCGGGGGGAAGTGCTCAGGACACTCCAGGCAGGGCTTGGAGTCCCAGGGACCTCTGGCAGGGGGACAGGGCTGCTGCAAACAGCATCCTGGGCCTCTGTCCCTGCTCTCAGCATGCTTTTCCCAAGGCTGCTGCAGCTGGGAAAAAGAAATACTCAATGAAAATAGCAAATAAAAATAGCAAATAAAAATAGCAAATAAAAATAGCAAATAAAAACACCAAATAAAAATAGCAAATAAAAATACCAAAAATCAGTGGGAATTTTCAAGCACTTGCTGCAGTGGCTTTCTGAATTATATCCACCACAATCCTTGTCTGAGCAGCACAAACTCAGGGGTTTATTTTTCCTGGAGTGCACAGAGATGTGGAGAACAACTGAGATGTTTAAGAACAACTAAATCAAAGTTATTAGTGGAAAAACAATCCTGCTGGGATTTTCTGACGGGTAAGAGCCCTGCATTTGGCCAAGGAACCTTCTGGACAGAAACAAAGCATCCTGGGCCTCTGTCCCTGCTCAGAGGGTGTTTTCCCAAGGCTGCTGCAGCTGGGAAGAAATCAGGGGAATTTTTCAAGCACTTGCTGCAATGGCTTTCTGAATTATATCCACCACAATCCTTGTCTGAGTAGCACAAACTCAGGGGTTATTTTTCCTGGAGTGCACAGAGATGTGGAGAACAACTGAGGCAATCAAAGTTATTAGTGGAAAAACAATCCTACTGGGATTTTCTGACAGGTAACAGCCCTGAGGCACAGCTGCACCTGGCCAGGGGAACCTTTAATATAGAAACAAAAATTACAAATCCTTACAAAAAAGGCTGAGAATTCTGTTGTTGGAGGTGAGGAGAGAAAGGGCCAAAGGCTTCAAATCAGCACAGGCTGCTCCAGGCTCCTGAGAGCCACAAGGAACACAATTTTCACTGCCCCTACTGCAGGTTTATTCTGCACATCCTGATTTTTTTGGGCATCAACTGCTCAAGATGTAAAGATGGACACCTCTGGATCAGTGACACCTACTTGGTCCAAGGCTGACACTTCTCGTTCCTTCCTGGGGAGAAAGTCCCCTCAGGACACGGTGAACACACTGGAAAAAAGGGAATAAAGCAGGCAGGGTGTGAGCTCAGGGAGCGACACAAAAATTAAATAATAGCTTAGAATGGTCTGGCTTGTAGAACAGACCCAACAAAAGCCTCTAAAAACCCAAGATATTGGGGCAGAAGTAACACAGCACACCCAGTGGTTGGTTTTAATCTGCAAGGGGCAGGATTTCCTGCTTTGGCCACTGGTAAATGATGGATATTACCAAGGAGAACGTCCCTGTTTCTGACAGGAACCACAGAGCAACAAGTTTGAACAACTCCCCTCGTGGGGAGATGTCCAAGAGAGAAATGCCAGCAGTTTTTACACTGGAAATAAGAGGAGACAAATGACAATAGCTTTTTTTTTTACACTGGAAATGACCACCTCAGTCTGGTGTGGAGGCAAGAGCTGGGAGAGCCTGGCACAGCCAGGCAGGGAGGGAGCTGGGATTTGGATGGACAGGGAGCTGAACAGGAGCCAGAGTGTGCCCAGGGGGACAAGAAGGCCAATGGATCCTGGCCTGGCTCAGGAACAGGGTGGCCAACAGGGCCAGGGAAGTGATTCTGCCCCTGGACTCAGCACTGGGGAGGCCACCCCTGGAGTGCTGTGTCCAGCTCTGGGCCCTCAGCTCAGGAAGGACATGGAGGGGCTGGAGCAGGGCCAGAGAAGAGCAACAAGGCTGGGGAAGGGACTGGAGCACAAGTGCTGGGAGGAGAGGCTGAGGGAGCTGGGGGGGCTCAGCCTGGAGAAGAGGAGGCTCAGGGGAGACCTCCTGACTCTCTGCAACTCCCTGACAGGAGGGGGGAGCCGGGGGGGGTTGGTCTCTTTTCCCAGGCAACCATCAGCAAGACAAGAGGGCTGGGTCTTCAGCTGTGCCAGGGGAGGGTTAGGTTGGATATCAGGAAGGAATTCTTTGCAGAGAGGGTGCTCAGCCATTGGAATGGGCTGCCCAGGGAAGTGGTGGATTCTCCATCCCTGGAGGTGTTTAAGGACAGACTGGATGTGGCATCAGTGCCATGGGCTGGGAACCACAGCGGGGTTGGATCAAGGGTTGGACTCGATGATCTCAGAGGTCCCTTCCAACCCAGCTGATTCTGTGATTCTGTGATTCTCTGATCCCTGACTCACCACTTCCCAGGGGCAGCCCAGCTGGCATGAACCCTGCCCGGCACACGCACACCCTGTCCGAGGTCTTCTCACACTTCTTCACCTCCACGCTCCCCCTCTCTAAAAAACGATTAAAAAGCAAGTGAGAGACAAGAGAGAACACTGAGAGAGAACACAAATTAATTCCCCACCCTGTGTGGAAACACCTGCAGGGAACAGAGAAGAACCCTGCAGGGTTTTCAGGCCCCACCACGAGCAGGAGAGATCAGACATTGGCACAACCCAGACTCTGGGTGGGAGGTGAGAAAGCAAACAGAGACTGATTCGTCCTGACTTTGTGGGAGGAAATGCCCCCCTGCCAGTGCCTTACTGGTGTTGCAGACTGTGCAGCTGTTGCAGAAGCTGTGGTGGTGCTCACTGCTGAAATATTCATCCTGGCAGGGGATACACTCCGTGTCTGCCGTGGCCGTGCAGCGGTTCCTCATCCTCTCCCCTAAAACAGGGATCACAGAGCACACACTGCTTGGGATCACCACAAAATCCTCTTTTTTCCCCCCATTTTTCCCCCTGAATTAGGATTTTCATTTTCACAGGGCAATGCATTTTCATTGCATTCACACTCACACCCTGAGTGTGACAGTCCCACCTCCAGCTCTGCCTGAGAACGCTCGGCAGGTTTAGACATCCCAAAAAACTCTGCCCCACAGCACTGGGAACGAGCAGCTGAAGTGGGATAAAAAGGGTCTGAGAGCTGAGGCAATGATTCTCCCAGCAGATCCCAAATATCCCTTCTCCAGACCACCTTTCCACAGGGTTTGGGCATCTCAGTTTGCAGCCAGCAGCAGGAAAAAAGGCTGAGGCTTCATTCCCCAAATGGTTCTCCCAGCAGATCCCAAATATCCCTTCCCCACACCACTTTTCCATAGGGTTTGAGCATCTCAGTTTGCAGGCAGTGGCAGGAAAAAAAGCAGGTTTTTAGCACAGCAATAAGTTTGACTTCCAGCGTAGTACAATGGCTTTGTGACAGAACCCGCCTTCCTTCAGGAGTTAAATATATATATTTATCCATAAATAATGCAATTCAGCCCAAATAACCCCAAACAGGGACAAAAATGGTTGTTCCCTTCATTTTGCTTCTCCATTTTCCCATCTGCAGGTGAATGAGCATCAAGCCTCTTGCTCGCTCTAATTCTGTTTTATTGAGGGCTGAGTGGCAAAATTAGGATTATTAGGGAGCATAATATGTGCAATAAATGCCATTTTTACTATCTGCACGAGGAAGAGACTGTGAAGAAACGTTTCCCCAACAGCAGCACATTTTCTAACAATGCAAAAACCTGATAAGAGGGGTTTTTTCAGTTTAAGAGGGAAGAAAATGTGAGAGATAAAGTGTTATTTATCTGTCTCTGCCCACAAACGTGCCTTGAGTTCACAAACACTCAGATTCTAAAGAATTTTGAGAATAACGCCACAAACTGCCTCAAAACTTAAGATTAAAGGCTGATTTTAGCCCAATTAGCATCCTGGAGGATAAAACTCCTGCATCAGTTCACCCCACATCCATCTTGGGGATAGATTTAATGATGAAAATAAGAAGTAAGGAGGGAAAACCAAGCTGGTTTTTCCTGACAAAAGGCTGAAATCCCTCCTGGAGACTCGTGGATTGGGGAAAAAAACTTGTTCAATCTTTACAAGAAGAAAGGAGGAAACAAATACAGTCCCTGTCAAGTAACTTTGCTCATCTTCATTTAGGAATAAAGTATTTTTCCTTAAAAAAACCCAAAACCCACCTTGTTACACTTTGCTGATCTCTATGATCCAAAACCACTGATTTTTTTCCCTTAAAAAACCCACCAGTAACAGGAGTAATATAAACTCTGCCACAAAGGAAAAAAGCTTCAAAAAACACCTTTAGCAACAGAATTAATAATTTTTGTTGTTATCTGAGACTTCTGAGGTTCTTTATGTGATAAAAGACAAGAACAGAAATGCCACCACTTTTTTTTTCCTGACATCACTCCCAAAGTGAAAATGCACCTGACTGACATATTAGTGACACAGAAATAAAAGAATAAAAGGCAGATTCCTAAATTTTGTATGTTACAGAAAGAAAAAAAAAATCTGAAAGATTTTTTTATGTCATAGAAAGATTTATCTGATTTTATGTTATAGAAAGAAAAAAAGCTCCTCACCAAATTTTCTCTACGTTATCCTTCCTCCAGCCTTAAATATACCCTTGTATATATTGAAATATATCCTGATATCCTGAAATATTCCTGGAAAGCTGGTTTATACATTTATATATTTTATATAATAAATAAGATTTCCCACCGAACCCAACTTACCCGGGGCACAGTCGCTGCAGCATTTATCCCGGTACGGATATTGGTGTTCCCTGCATTCCAACCCCCGGGAATCGGGAACAGCAACCAGCAGGAGGAAGAAAACAGCGGGAAAATTCCCCCCTGGCCGTGCCATCCCCGTCCCAGCCCGGTTTGGGTGCTCGGGGAGCAGCGACTTCGCAGCCCCGGGGCCGCCAGAACAAATTGATATTTCGGGCGCTGGGAAATTCCCGGCGAGTTTTCCACGCCCCCTTCCTTCTTCCTTCTTCTTCTCACCCCCCCCTTTCCTTCTTCCCACACCACCCCGAGCCCCGGGGAGGGTTGTTTTTTTTTTGAAGTTCATCACTGAAAGATTCACAGGCAGGAAGGTAAGATGCTGAATTGCATTTTGAGGAGGTTTCTATTCTTAGCTCTCCGTGCGGCGACTCCAAAAGAGCGGCAAAGGCCAGGCTGGGAATGCCAGGAAAAAGCAGGAAAAGCAGGGATGGAAGAGGCTGAGCAGCAACCTGGCATCTCAGCTGTGCCCCCACCTGACACCAACAGGCAGAAAAAGCAGGGAACACGTTAAGAATTACTAAATTTAACTGTTTGGTCTCTCAGAATTTGACTCGTTTGGGCAAGGAATGAAATGTTCGGTCTTCCCGACACTGGAGCAAAGACGTCCCACGGGGAGCAAATCTCTGATTTAGGCTTAATTTAGATTAAAAACCACAGCCAGGCTTCCCAAGTCACAGCCAGAGGGGCAAAGGAGACTCGCTTGGAACGCCAGGAATTCTGGAATTGCAGTTTTCCTGCAGGGTTTGGGAAGGCTGGACGGCGACATCCCGGTGGGATTGATCCGGAGCTGCCGCTTCTCTCTTCTCTCCTAAATTTCTGAGAGAGGCAAAACAGCAACTGTTTTACTACTTCTCCCGTTTTCCAAGGATTTGGGAAGACAATCCCTATGGAAAAGAAGTTATAGCTTGAAATCTTTCTTTCCAAAACATGAATTGTCTGGGCAAGGAATGAAATTCTTTGCTCGGGCTTTTCGCTCCAGTCTTGGGAAGACTGAAAATTTCATTCCTTGCCCAAACGAGTCAAATTCTGAGAGACCAAACAATTAAATTTCATAATTCTTAACGTGTTCCCTGCTTTTTCTGCCTCTTGGTGTCAGGTGGGGGCATGGCTGCGATGCCAGGGAGCTGCTCATCCTCTTCCATCCCTGCTTTTCCTGCTGGAAGGAAATGTTCGGTCTTCCCAACACTGGAGCAAAGATGTCCCACGGGGAGCAAATCTCTGATTTAGGCTTAATTTAGATTAAAAACCACAGCCAGGCTTCCCAAGTCACAGCCAGAGGGGCAAAGGAGACTCGCTTGGCACGCCAGGAATTCTGGAATTGCAGTTTTCCTGCAGGGTTTGGGAAGGCTGGACGGCGACATCCCGGTGGGATTGATCCGGAGCTGCCGCTTCTCTCTTCTCTCCTAAATTTCTGAGAGAGGCAAAACAGCAACTGTTTTACTACTTCTCCCGTTTTCCGAGGATTTGGGAAGACAACCCCTATGGAAAAGAAGTTATAGCTTGAAATCTTTCTTTCCCAAAGTCCCCTTTCCCTGCTCACTGCAGGCAGGGAGCAGCCAAACCTCTGCCCATTCGGGGATCATCCTGAGCCCAACAGAAATTATTCACATCAAAGACAAAATAGAAAAATACAGATAAAATACCTGCATTCTTAAAAAGAAGTTTCCTGACAAACTGGAATAGTTTGAACTTAACATTCCAAGCCAGAAATAACCTGGTGGATCCCTTTTCCAAGGGGTTCCCTGCTCACGCTGTCAGGTTAATTAAGGTGGTTTAAGCATCATCTAATTCCCAAATTTTAATGATCTTGGCATATATTAACAGCCAAAGTTCAGGGCACACATTTATCAACTGATATTACTAAAATTTCTGTCTTTAAGCTCGTTTTAATGAGAGGTTATCAATGGAATTTATCCCTCTCTTCCATTTTTAAAATTGTATTTTAATTTCTCTCTTCCCAAGGGTTTCATTTTTCCCCACAAACCTGAACCCAGCACCGTTTCCAAAGGGAGAAAAATATTTGATGGGGAAAAAAAAAAAAAAAGAGAAAAAAGAGATATATGGATATAAAAAGACTCTTATACAAGCCATTTAATAAAACAAACAAAAAAAATAAAGAATAAAGAGAAGGAAGAGTGAAACAGAACCGGCAACACTTATATTTACATTATATTAAGAGAATAAATTTAATCAAATATAACATCTCACTTGCAGGAACCCTTCAGAAAGAGGGGTTTTCTTTTTTTTACAGTAAAGATGGAACCAGAGTAAAAATAACTGTTCTATTTTTGCAGGAGTGGATGTGAGCCAAGATGCTCTCAGAGATTTACCCCGAGCCAGGCTGATCCAAGGGCTTCCCAAGTATTCACAGTTCCAAAGCAAAGCCTGGAATTCCACCCCTTCAGCACCTCCAGTTCAGCTCCAATTTGCACACAGACAACTGATTTTACCAGTCTGAGCAGGGAGTTCTCTGACCAAGACAGAAACTTTCCCCCCTTGGTTTCATTTTAGAGCAAAAATCTGATTTTTTTTTTAAGCCATAATTTGAATTCTCCCCCATCTCCCCCCAGCACAAAGCCTGGCATGCTACAACCAGGTTTATTTTTAGGTAGATGCAAAAAAGCTTCTGTGGAACCTTTAAAATGAATTCCTCCCCACGGTCCTGAAGGATAATTGAGTGATGGGGGGAAAACTGGGATTAAATTCCCAACTAGGCTGAGAAAACACTGGGAGATCAGTGGAATATCCTGTGGGTATTCCCAGGAGGTCAGAACATGCCTTGGAACCACCACTCCCTTCCCAAAACCCCCCCATCTCCCCGTTAGCTGGGATTCCCAGGGATCAGCAGCTACGAGGGCAACGAGTGAAATATTTCAGAAGCCTCCCCCAAACACGATTTGCCCAACTTCAGCTGGAATTCCTGCCCAATCCAGGGGGAACTGAGGTATTCCAGGACCTTTCCCACTCTTCCTGGCCTGGTTTCCCCTCACCCCAAAGGCAGCAAGATCCCGTGGACGGACGGAAGGTTGGAAGTCTGGGACAACACACCGGAGGCAAAGGACACAGATTAGCAGCAAAGGAACTTTCTGTCTGGTTTTGGGGCTTGGATTTATTCCTCTTTTTCCTCCCCCTCTCTCTTTTTTTGTTTTGAAAGCCAGAAAGTGCTTGAGGGCTCTGGAGGAGCGAGCAGGGTCAGAATTCCTCGTGGACGTTGCGGGCGTAGTCCATGAGTTTGCTGCCGGTGAAATATTCGCTGTATTTCAGGATCTCCTCCAGCTCCAGGTGGTGGTTTTGGTTCTCATCTGCCACTGCAATCATCTGCTTGGCCTCGTTGAGGGCGTTGTACTCGTTCATGGGATCCATGTATTCCTAAAAAACAGGAAAGAGCAGCGTTGGAATTCGCTTTCCCACCCGGCGGAACGAGGAGCTTCGGCTCCGGGGGAACTTCACCGCCACGGTCCTTCCCAAATCCTGGGAAAAGCTCCTGGCACTGATCTCCAGGAGCCAAGAACGTTGTCCCAGCTCTTTTTCCTCTCACTGCTCCCTTGGCTGATCCAGCAGAAATCCAGATTTTTCTCAGCTTATGCCAATAAAAATATTTTTGACATTTTGGCTAAACCAGCAAGTTCAAATTCAGAATTCACCCCACTTCAAAATTCTAAGTTCTCCTGTTTCTGGAGACAATGTTTTTTGAGGATATGTTTAATTTGGGCCATTTTAAACCACACTGCAGAGGTCAGAAAGCTCAGAATGAAAGCATTTTGCCCCTTCACCTGATGTAAAATAAATTAAAAGGTCTCAGGTGGGGCATTTAATTAAAAGTTAGAAGAGTCAAGATTCATTTCTCCCCAGAATGTGTGACAGATGTGTAAGTACATAAAGACTTCACAGGTAGAAGAGTTATTTTTAAAAGAAAATTCTCAGTAAAAAGGTCATAAAATTGTTCATATATCCATAAAATATCATAAAACTGTCCATAGAACAATTTATCCACACTACCACCAAGTATCTATATCCAAATATTTGCACACTGAGAAGGTGAGGGACTTTAACATTCATCCAACATCCATTTCGACTTTAACAGCCTTGGGGAGAGAAAAAAGTAATAGAGTAGTTCTTCTTGCAGTAAAAAAAAAGAAAAGGCCCCAAACTAGAATCCACACTTGAAAATAACAATTTTTAAAAAAGAAAAACAGCCTCAAAGACAAGAGCTCTCTGCTCTTTTCAAAGCTGTGTTTGTTCCACTCTTGAAAATCATTTGGGTTTTTAAAGAAGAAAAACACCCCCCTCTTTCCAAGGCTGTGGGGCCCCAGTGTTTGTTGGGCACTGGGGTTTTTTTTTTTGCTTTCTTTTATTTTGCTGGGGTTTTTTTTTCCCCCTCAAAGAATCTCTAGGTTGGCAGTTACTCCTTTTGCAACTGAAAGTCTGAGTCACAGTGACTCTGTGCCCAGCTCACCTGAGGAAATCCAGGGCTGCTTTCAGGCACCCCAAAAAACACACACCAGTGTGTTGTGTGTGACAAAAAAAAACCCTCAAAGCAAAGCCCTGAATAACAGTTTGGTTAAGGAAACTCCCCCTCCTCTTGAACTAAAATCATAACAGCACCTGCAAGCCCCACAGAGCACTGTAAACCAGGGGGTTGTGCTATTAATTGGAATATTTTGGGATTCTGGGTTCTCTCCAGCTGTTTCAACGCTGTGTTTTGAAAGTGTTGGGGTTGAAATGATCAGGAAACTCACCTCCAGCTCTTCCATGGTGACAATCCCATCGTGGTTGGCATCAATGACCTCCTCAAACTCCTTCCTCCTGTCCTTCACCCAGTCATCATCAATGTCCTGAGCCTGCTGGTTCTCCATGGTGCCAACAGGCAAGGAGATGAACTCGGAGAGGGTGAGCTTCTTATCTCCATCCTGATCTACAAAAGAACCACCAAAGAACTGACAAGTCTTTGCTTAATGCCCATTAGAAATGATAAAACCTCACTGGGACAGGCTGCCTGCTCCGAGCAGTCCTCACTGCACTCAGGTACCAACACTTCTGAATTAAAAAATACAACTTTCTTGGAAAACTCAACCATTTATTTCCCCTTTTCTGAGTGGAAGTC